GCCATCTCATTGAATTTGATTTATGTGTCTTATACACGTTCCGACATTTCTCCGGATTAGCTACAATATATTTTCGACCCAACGTTCTACAACACCCGGTTCCCTCTTTCTATTACTTTGATACGACTTGATAAGTACCCTTTCGCCACCTGGAAACTGCGAGTGACCGCACGATGCTCATTCGTAGGTTCATTTGTCTTGATGGGCAGTAATATACTCTAAAAGACTGTTAGAAGTTTTCTTCCGAACATTCACCCAGCTGGGGGACTTTCCTCCTGGCAATGCCGGGTTGCGGGTAACTTTGTAAGACATTAAGAATTTACCAATCACTTTTTCTGGGATGCTCTCTCCTTCTTCTTTGACTAAAGCTCTTTTTATCGTATCTACGGATCTTTCTGTTTGGCTATTCGACTGAGGATGGTACGGCATTTTTACTTCAAAATCGTTTAAAAGTGGATGACATATACTGAGTGCCGTTGTCAGTCACCAAGATTTCTGGAGCCACAGAACAAGCAAACAATCCTGACAATCTTCCTATTGTACGACGTTGTTTTCGGCTTCTTAGAGCTTCCTCAACTTCACCCGTAGGCTGTCCTCACAATTGCATAATAAGTTTATAGGTGAAGATTACAGAAAATGATTAGAATCTGAAGTGAAATAATAAATGCAAATAAACAATATAGGGTTATAGAAACCATTAAAAAGGGGAAGGCTATTTTGTTCTAGCACAGAGCGTGTCATATGAATAAATGTATATTCATTTCACACAAAAATGAATGGATGAAGTCTTAAAACTAGATATAAAATAGCATGATGTTAATTACCACCTGAAGACTGATCAAAAGAGTCAATAAGATGATCCATCATCAGAGGATCCTTTTGACCTTATTCGTTAAAAAAATGTAGAATATACCAGATTTTGATATCACGCTATTTTATTTAAATTAATTGTCAAAGTTTGAGAAAAATGTGACTTACATTGTACACATTTATACACCAGATCGCAAATCTTGTCTTTACGTGACTAATCGTAGTAACGGACACGTGTAAACTTAAAGCAAGTGGAATGTGTGAGAAAAAGCACTTGACTATCAAGTCTAATAAGAAAATAAACTTGACATTTATAATAATCTATATGTTAGCTACAATTACCAAATGAATAGTAATATGTGTTTAGTAGTTCATTTAAAAACAATAAAATTACCATTCACTAAGTACTGTTTGCTTGAATCTTCCCATTGATGTTTAGGACTGAAACTGATCAGTCCCTAATTGGCATATGTGCATACTGTGCGTATTGCCTCGATATAGCCTAAATTCACAAGCACGATAAGCAGAGATGGATAGTGGCTAGCAGTGGAATCCAGGACGCGCGTTTCGTCCTATTTGGGACTCGGCAGCTGGATGTACCAGCATCTCAGGTTCGATGTTCACTCTGGGGCTCGAACCCAGTACCCTCGTTTCAAACGCCATTGCGTTATCCACTCGGCCACTGAGTCCTGGTAGCCACTTGCTTGTTCGATGGGGTGAAGTTTAAATTCATTTAGTATTGTTTGCTTGAATCTTCCCATTGATGTTTAGCACTGCAACTGGTCAGTCTCTAATTGGCATATGTGCATACTGTTCGTATGGCCTCGACATAGTCTTATTTCACAAGCATTATAAGCAAAGATGGATAGTGTCTAACAGTGGGATGCAGGTACATCTAGCCGACGAGTCCCAAATAGGACGAAACGTACGTCCTGGATTCCACTGCTAGCCACTATCCATCTTTGCTTACAATAAAATTATCAGTTCTGCGTTTCTATGGTTTTTGTAACTAAACTATTGACTATTATATACATAAAACAAAATCGTAAGATTGAAAATTTTTGAAATAACACTGTTTTGAAGTTTATCGGAATCATAAATTCACATAAATAAATAAGTGAAGCAAAAAAAACATACTGAACACCTTGGAACGACTGTTATTAGAATGACAAGTTTGTCTGGAATGATCTGTTCAAAGATAGTTCATATCACTCAATGGGATCAGCCGGAAAACTATTGAAAACTATGGAATACCTAACAACTGTTTCATCCTTGCATGGGATTCTTCAGTATTGGGAACATATAACCTAATTAAGATTCAAACACAAGATTTTAAAATTTTGTAGTTATAAGATCAATTTTAACATATCCAAATGATAACAATAACAATTGACACATAGATTGAAGCTGAATTATTTGTTCCACTAAACTTTAATGGCCTAAATCTTGGTACTAAGGGAAGTATTCGTAAAAAAGCAGTATTTGATATGATTTTCTAACTGATTCAATGTTAGATTGTATGTATATATAGTGTTTATGAAAGTCTCCAAACTCTACAAGCTATTGGATGATTTAATAAAAAAAACACTGGACAAGATCAAGTCGACTGGTCATTTCCTCAAAATCAGAAAGACTACCAGTTGAACCTATTACAGTATTGAAATAAATACTTTTTTCAGTAAAAAAAACTGGAAACAAATTTATTCAAATCCTTTAATTTTTATATGATTGAAAAGTTTCTCTGGTTTAAATTGATTTCATTGAAATCATGAACCGAATAATGTGAAATCACCTTTCTAAACATGAAAGCACTGGACGGCCACTTCCTTTTAGTATGAGATGACTCAGCAATGCGTATCCACGATTCTGCAAGCTGGATTCTGACCTGAGACCGTCGGTCTTGAGCGCGAACTTTTAACCTATAGACCACTGAGCCGGCATCTATTTGCGCTAATGTCCAACTTTAACCAATCCACCATGTTGTGCAACCATATTCTATTTTCTTCAGTGAGTAAATACCTCACACTGCCTCTCTAGGACGAAATGGCCGTCCAATGTTTCAAGGTTTTTAGTGGTGGTCTAACACTGATCGGTTTATGATTTCAATGAAATTCAACAATCTCAACAATCAAAAACTAATATTGACCTAAACTAACTTAGAAAATATCGATTTCACTAGGTAAGTTTATTGAGATTAGCACTCTGTAAAAAATGTGCTAATAAGCTGATTTTATGGGGAATACAGATACGACAGCGATCAACTCAGTAAATTAAAATGTACCACTCATCAGACATTTGTGTTCATTAAACAAGAGCTATGCATATAGTTATTTGTTCTTGTAATTAACTTTCGAATGTATCTTAAATAAGCAAAGATGGATAGTGGCTAGCAGTAGAATCCAGTTTGACGCGCTTGTCATCCTATTTGGGACTCGTTAGCTGGATGTACCTGCATCTCAGATTTGTTGATGTTCACTCTGGGACACGAACACAGTAACTTTCGCTTCAAACACCATCGCGTTATCCACTCAGCTACTGAGTCCTAATAGCCACTTGCTTGTGCAATGAGGTGAAGTTTAAATTCACTTAGTATTGTTTATTTTAATCCTCCATGCTTAAACATCTGGGCTACCTGTTTCCCGTCATCTATATATTTCAACAAGTTATCTAATATTGTTTGTTTTAATACATAATTATGGCTATTAAGCACACAACCTATTCCGGTGCATTTCTGAAAACTGTACAACATTTCGCTGTAAAAGTTACAAAAGGCCTAATCAGAGATGTCGTGTTTGCTGGGAACATGCAGCAAAAAGAATATACATTATTCATATGTCGATTGACTGAACTGCTGACATCCAACTGACGATCACTGAATGTTTATCATCAGGAGCAACGAAGAAATAAGAAACGTAAACATGTTGAAATACTTTATGCTGAGAATTCGATTTTGTACCAAATAATATAATATTGAATAAAGCTAATAATAATAATAATAATAATAATAATAATAATGTTTAGGACTGTGACTGGTAAGTCTCTAATTGGCATGTATACATAATGTGCGTATTGCCTCGATACAGCCTAAATTCACAAGCATTATAAGCAGAGATGGATAGTGGCTAGCAGTGAAATCCAGTTTGACGCGCGTTTCGTCCTATTTGAGATTCGTCAATTGGATGTACTGCATCTCAGATTTGTTGATGTTCACTCTGGGACACGAACCCAGTACCTTTTGCTTCAAACGCCATCGCGTTATCCAATTAGCTACGGGGTCCTGATAACCACTTGATTATTCAACAAACAGTACTAAGTATCTTAAATAAGGCTCACAAAGGCAGAAATTCAATTTTTTTGACGAATTTTTAATTTCACAATTGGAAAGTCTAAATATATTCGATAGTCGTCTTCTTAATGCATATCAACTTTTTAAATTTCCTCATAAGATTTCAATTCTTTTTCCTAAAAATCGTTAGTTAACTAAAGCTTTCATTTATGTTTTCGGTTTAAAATAGAGTACTAGTGGATTAGTGATTAAACTCAAGAATGAATATCGTAATGAATCTAATAGAAATTTACATTGTAATCTTCTAAATGATTCGGATTTAGTATTATTAAAATCATAGTCATGGTAATTAAACCAATCATTGTATAGGTGTTCTGTCTTAAACAATCATTTTTTTTTATCACTGTTGATATTTTACGTTCTATGTATTTCCGGTTAGTGGTTTGTATAACAAATCAGAACTCGCTTAACGGTCATTCTGTGAAACTTAAACTTTTACTGACAACAGAATTTTGTCAGTAATAACTATTACTACTATGGGGGTTTTCAGAGATTGTTAGATTTCATAATTTGTACCTCAATGACTCACAAGTGACTAGTTTTTAGAGGTGATTTCAATAGTTCAAATGCGAAGCTGTGACCAATGGAATTTATTCATGTCAATTGTGAGATAGTTACATACTAACCCAATCAGAAAAAAGTTAAAAAACATTATGACTCCATACCATTAAAAAAAATCAAAATCATTGGGTGCCTACTTATTAGTTTTAAAGTTCAACACTTATTGAGACACCTGAATTTCTTAAGTTCAATCCCTTGTCCAGTCGTAGATCGGCACTTCTGAGGAGAACCATACTAGGATGTAATATTTATTCAGTAATATATAGTTTTGGTATGTATATAATAATCATAATTGGTAATGATTGGGGGATTATTTTAAAAAAATTCATAAAAATTGATTAGATATATATGTCCTAATATGTTGGTTGCCAGTTTATATGTCCGTATTCATTCTTTGAGAAAAATAATGCAAATGTCCATAAGACAATAAAATGGTTATGTTTAAATAAGTTAACTTTTATAATATTAAAACTAATCATGCTAGTAAATAAACTTAATAAGGAGGCTATACAAGCTCATAATGAGTAAGTTATACAAAATCTCTTTTTTTTTGTTATTGTTGTTGTTTAAAGTGTTGCGGTGGCTACTATTTGTAAAGAACAGTTAAATTTAACATCTCTCTCTCTCTTATTGATATGGCTACTAAATATTGATTTAATTATTTGTTGTCAAGGGAAATTAGAACAGGTTTATTTCACAATTGGGATATAAATTAACTAATTCATTAATGTAGTTAGTCTTATCTAAAGGAGAAAAACAACGACAACAACAAACAGAAATTCTTAAAATCTAATCACAAATTAGCTAGATGAATAAGTAACAACTATTATTCAGTATAGGGGGGTTTGTGAAGATTTTAGTATATTCACAGTTGTAACCATGAGTTGATCTAAGTTAGGCTGCCATTTGAGTACCCGAAAGCATTTGACGGCCCATTCGTCCTCAGTAGTGCTCTATGAAAATACTATAGTCTCCACAAATCCTCATACTGATAATAATCATGTGCTCATTAGTGACTAACTTTAAGATGTAACTCTTGTAGTTTTAGTGAGAAGCCATAACCAGTGTGGGTGTCGGACAGTTATCCACCTCAGACAACTGATGTTAGGTTGCGCAAGATCATGAATTAATTGAAATTGGATAGTAAAACTGTTGGATTCCAGCTCAGTGGTTTAGAGGCTGAGCGTTCGCATGTGAGGTTAAAGGTCCTGGGTTTGAGTCCTGCGAGTGTGATTGTGGATCTGTATGGCTGAGGAGTTCCACACTACAACGAAACGGCCGTCCAGTGTTACTAAGTTTTTAATGGTGGTCTTACTTAGATCGAATCTTGATTTCAACTATTCTACATTATTCAAGTTTTTTACTGAACCTATCCAAACTTTAAATACCTTATCATTGTATTATTCGATCAAACTAATCTATTTTCAGATTCCTATCAAGTATTTTGTTAATTTGTACATACAATAAGACGAACTTTATTTTGGTACAAATTCATTACTGTTTACTATTTAACGTTTATTTAATCCAGACAGTTAATAGTTAGACTGACTACAAGAAATAACTACGAAACGTTTATCTTTAAAACTAACAAATCAAAGTTATTTTGTGATGAATGAATTCAAGATCATTCTTCTTTCATATGTTAAGGTTTTATTTTATGAAATAAATACTTGTATAGAATCCACTATAGATGTCATCCCATATGAAGTTCATTTATCTTGACTGATTATAGTTTTTAAGTAGTATATTGTACGTTAGTGTAACTATGATATAAATAGTTCTTCTAAAAAATCCAAATTATATGGGGATATCAATTATTTTCTGACAGATTTCTTTTTCGATATAAAGTTAGTCATAATGAAAAAGTTTTAAACAATTATTGATAAGTAAGCAGAGATAGATAGTGGCTAGCAGTGGAATCCACGACGCGCGTTTCGTCCTATTTGGGACTTGTCAGCTGGATGTACCTGCATTTCAGATTTGTTGATGTTCACTCTGGAGCTTGAACCTAGTACCTTTCGCTTCAAACGCCATCGCGTTATCCACTCGGCCACTGAGTCCTGATAGCCACTTGCTTGTGCGATGGGACGAAACGCGCGTCCTGGATTCCACTGCTAGCCACTATCCATCTCTGCTTACCATGCTTGTGAATTAAGGCTATATCGAGGCAATACGCACAGTTTGAATATACGCCAATTAGGAACTGACCAGTTGCAGTCCAAACAAATCGATGGGAAGATCCAAACAAACAATACTGAATGAATTTAATTATTGATAAGGTCTTCGCTTAAACAAAAGTATTTGAGTCTAGTATAATTACTTATTGGTTTATGCTTACTACTCCTCATAGAGGAGCATAGGCTGACCATTAGCATTCTCCATCCAACTCTGTCCTGGACAATCCTTTTCACTAGTTTCTTGATGCTATTCATTCTTTTCATTTCTTCATCCAATTCCCGACGCAATGTGTTCCTTGGTATTCCGCTTTTCTTCTTCCCTTCAGGATTCCAAGTAAGAGCTTCCTTCGTGATGCAGTTTGATGAGTTCCACAATGCATGTTTTATCCATATGATTCAAAACAACAGTTGTTGACTTAATGGACTGACGTCTTTGTTCGGCTGCCCCTAGTTTCCTTCTAAACTACTTATGTGATAGCTGGCGTCGTTCGTCGTGGTCGACATCAGTTCAGCATATATAACAGTTATTTGAGCTACTACAGTTATTGAAGGTCTACAACCTTATCAAATAATTTTCCATCTTTGTCAAATACTCTATGCTTAACTTCAATATTTATGACTTGCTCTTTCCACGGACTATGAGCAACACTTAGAGGATACCTATGACCAGAAACCTTAAGTCTAGCATGATTTTTTAATTGTTGGTTGGATTTCTGAGAAATATTTTCATTTTTTAATAATTTTCAATGATACAATTGTAATAAGTGTTACGTAATTGAGATTATAATTTACTGGTTAACGGATTTAATTTTCAGTCACCAAGGTGGGTTTTAGAAAACTTTCTTTCAGACTAATAGATAAGTCCTATGCTGAGAACAGGATCCAAATAATAACCAGTTACTGCGGTGCATTTATTAGGAAATTACTAACTAAATATTGACATTATTTTAACTTGTAATGTTTTTCATTGTCCAGTTGCTGATATTTCGACTGGAATTTGATCAGTTTCGGTTGCGTTGCCTTGATATAATCATTGTGACACAAGTTCACATACAGAATAGATGGAACGTGGCTAGCAGTGGAATCTGAATATGAGCTAAATGATGGCACGAAAATTGAAATTTTAGGGACTCTCATCTGCATTTTCTATGACAATGAAGAATAAGTAATTACGTTCGTTGTGAATTTGATCATAAAAAGTTTGTAAGGACAAGTTTCCATTTTTGTTTACATTTTGTCACTCGCCAGCTGGATGTTTCCATATCCAAATTGTTAGTCGTTCCGGGACTCAAACCCACGCTTCAAACCTCAACGTGTTATACTAATTACAACTGAGTCTAGATAGCAACTGGCTTGTGTAAAAATGAACTGTATAAAACTTTATATCTTTAGTATAAACAAGGAAAAAACATTAAAAGATTTATTCTACACTACTATTTTTATCAGTATGGAATTTGTGGCCATTGTTCGTGATTTCAATCACATTCAGTAATCTTCATAATTCCTCTACCAATAATTATCATGTACTCACTGATAACTAACTTTAAGAGGAAATTTCCAGACTTCCAGTGAGAAGCAGAGACCAGTAGAGTTCAACCGTTTTCGGTATGAGGAAGGTATTCACAGAAGACAATCGAAGATTTTCGAGCATCACAATAGATTGATTGAAATTAAATATGTACACCATCTAGTGTTGGATCAGTAGTCTGAAGGTAAAGCGTTTTCATGAAAGATCGAAAGTCCTGAGTTCAGTTCCTGGTTGGTGGGTCATGAATGTACACTACTGAGGAGTCTCTTACTGGACACAAAGCAGTTGTCCAGTGCTTTTAGACTATCGATGATACCTAATTGTATTGATAAAAGTCTATGATGTAACGTTGAAATTATAAAATTAGAGAGACCTTGTAACTACAAGTCTATAAACAGATGACCTACATACTTTTAAAAATAGTAAATTCGATTAAATATTATTTATTTTATGGAATAAAATATATCGATCAGAAAAACATTAAATGGTAAAATCGACCCTTTAACTGTATCTAGTTTTATATACAAAGTTTTATTTTTAACAACGAATTTAGGTCATGAGATAGTCGCAGTTTTAATTTATATGCTTATCCCAATTATTACTTATTTAAAGAATCTTTTAGAATTCTAAGTGCTTCATTTATGTAGTTATTATTTTCATATTTGAAATCATGAGTCAATTGAAGCTAGACCACCATGGAAAACCTGGAAGCACTGGACGGCTGTTTCGTCCTATTATGGGATTCCTCAACAGTACGCATCCACGATCCCGCCTCGCGAGTGAAATTCGAACCCGGGACCTACCAGCACTTAACCGATAGACCACTGAACTTGCCGGTATCTAACGGTGTTAATGTCTAACTTCAACCAATCCATGAAGTTCGACCAACTGTTCACCAATTGTCTTCAGTGAGTTGTTATCTCTAGATTTTCCATGGTGGTTTAGCTTCAATTGACTCATGATTTCAACTATGAAAATACTGAAATCTCCACAAAATCCCTTCTGAGTAGTCATTATTCTTAAACTTTTTAAACATTTGTATTAATTATTTTATTTTTGTATTGGTTGTTTGAATCTTCCCACTGACTTTTAGGATTGCAATCGATCAGTCTCTTATTGACATATATCTGTACTGTGAGGATTGCCATAAGTCACAAACAATATAAGCAAAGTTAGATGGTGATTAGTAGTGGAATCCAAGACGAGCGTTTTGTACTAACGCAATGTCATTTGGAGCGAATGGTACCGCGTTCGAGTCCTGGGGTGAACAGCAACTTTGAAATGCTGGAACATCCAGATGACAAGTCACAAGTTGAACGAAACGTGCGTCCTGTATTACCCTACTAGCCATCATCTATCTTTGCTTATAGTTGTATTCATTATTTTACTGAAAGCATATCAAAAACAGGTGGGACTTTCAAAGCTTATTAGCTTTAGAAACAATTAAGTTTAATCTAACCAATCTTTAATTAATCATTTCCAGATAGCGAGTTACTTCAATTAAAACAGATAAACTTTTAAACTATAACCTAAGATCTATTGGTTGAAGTTTCGTTCCTTCAAACGATTTCTTAACTCTTTACAAATATTTCAGTAGTACTTAAATACACTATTATTCCTGTTAGGATAAGTAAGGACTTAACTATTTCAAGTATGATTTACATACGATATTTATTTATTTATTTTTTTACAAATTTCTATGATATCTAATCATATTACTTATATCCGTTGATTTTAGATGATTAACTTTATAGTATTGAATATTTAAGTGTATTCTGTAAACTAATGACTAATGAATGTCAAGTACTACTCGGTTTAA